AAGGAATATCAGCAATGCATTTAAAAGAGACTGATCAAAAGTGATGCTTATCATGTACTACATTGTAGCACCTACTGTTCTGTAGACAGCATGGCTAATGGCACTAGATTGGGAAGGTTAGGCTAGAACAGGGGTCGGCAACCTACAGCCCGTGGGATGGGTGCGGCCCGCGGAGGCCTTAGGACCGGCCCGTGGCCGGTCTTGTCGCCGCCCCACACGTGCTGCCGCCCTGCACGTGAGCGCAGGCGCATGCACACAGTGGCTGCACAGCTGCTGTTGGGCCTTCAGAAGGCCACATTGTGGCTGTGCCGGGCAAATTCGCCCAGCGCAGCTGCGAGGGATCTTTCCAAGGCCCAGGGAAGCCCCCCGGTGGCTGTGCCCAGTGAATTTGCCCACTGCGGGCGTGGGGAGGCCTTTCCAAGGCCCAATGAAGCCCCGCCGCTGCGCCGGGCAAATTCACCCACCATGGGCAGGGGGGACTTTCCAAGGCCCAGGGAAGCCCCCTGCAGTTGCACCGGGTGAATTCGCCCGCCGCCAGTGCAGGGGGGCCTTTCGCCCACTGCAGGCATCGTCGTGCACATGCGCACGCAGGGGGGCGAGCACACATATGCGCGCAAGCGTGCACGCAGGGGGGCAAGCACACATATGTGCGCAAGCACGCGCGTGCGCGCACCCCCCCGTGCCATTTCCTCCCCCCTCTCGGCCCCCCAGCAAAAAAGGTTGCCGGTCCCTGGGCTACAATATGAAAAGACTGCCATGTGATTTGTAGAAGCGTGGAGAGTAGGTTAAGTATACAGCAAAGATTAAAGTACCGTATGTAGCAAACAATTTTTGTTATTCATACATGCACCCAGCAACTGTGGAACTAGTACCTTATCCAGAGTAAAAACTACAGCTGAGAGCTTGTTCATCAGTAATGTAGTGGAAAATTATGCAAGCACAGCTATGCCACAGTATTATTGGAAGGACCCTGCACTCTCCTGTTGTACAACAGCTGATCCACCCATTGTTAAAGATCACATTTACAGGATCACATCACAGGAATTATGCAACCTGAACCTGAAACCACCCAAAAACTGACAACTGCCTTATAATGGCATAAACTCACAACAGGATTCCAGTCCGATGAATTAAATATGAAATTGGTGGATATTGTTGCTTTACATCTACCATGCATGGATGGATGAAATATTACAACTGAATACAAGATTCCCAAGTTCATCTATCTACTTGATTACCAATAGATACACTGTATAGATTCTGGTAGATGTCATTCATATCTTTAGCCTAACCTACCTCAAAATGTTTGTTGTTGTTAGTTCCACTATTTCTGTACTATTCCTCATTATCTAACAATATCTCAAAATGGCAAGGTATCAAGAGAATGTGCAACTTGGGCAACTTGGAGGAAGATCACAATACACATGAACTTGCATTATAATACTACATAACTTATACTGTAGCATTTTGAAATTATATACCAATCACAAAGAAAAACAGTGTCTTGGGGGTGGGGTTGTGAAGCTCTCTCAAGATTATCATTTCATTATGTTTGCAAGAACTCATATTACAACTGCACTCCAGCTAATTTAATATGATCATGCTTTTGTCTGACTTGCAAAATTGAGCAAAGCCAGAGGAAAGCTAATGAATGCAACATGTGTTCACTTCTCTTGGTAGCCGTGTCTAAAGCCAACTGGCAGAACGATCACAGCAAGATAAATGTCAAAACAAAGCAATCTTACCGTGTGGAGTGCTCCCTGCCTCCAAAATCTCCTTAATGAGTTAGCAATAATTTCTATCTCTCCAAGCCTACAGCCTTAAATATATGAAGGAATTATTATTATTATTATTATTATTATTATTATTGCTGCAAAGAGAAACACAAAGAGAAAGGAGCTGTATGAAGAAGGAGGTGAGGGAGGAGGAGAAAATAAAAATAAAAAATACAATGGAAGCAAATCTCAGCTGACATGATTACATTTAACTTTGTAAGATACACTATATTTAAGGGTTATATAGGAGAAAGAAGGATGGGGCTATCAATCAAGACAGGTCAGTAGAAAGCTCCAAGTTTGGAGATAATTTATCTATAAACATTCATTGCTGAGATGAACTGAGGGACAAACAAAAGGATGTGTTGTTCCCTTATATTTGTAGACCTTCTGGCTGCCTATTCTTGAGACAGACAACATGGATTCTTGGATAGATCTAGCAGGATTTTCTTTTACATTGTTTGAGAGAGGCTGGATAGAGTGGAGGTGTTGCTCCACCAGCCTGGAGGCCCTGCTAAGCTTACACAAAACTCAAGAGATGTGGCAGTACTGCAGGCAGAGTTCCTGCTGGCTGCAGGCCCTGAGATGTGGTGTTTGAAGGGCAGGGTAGAGCTCGGCTAGAGAATCTGCTGGATATTAAACAGTTGCATTAATATTTTTTTTAAAATGACATGCGATCTAGGAGACCCCATAAGTAATCAGGATTTTTAATGCAATAACGTATTTGATCTTAAGCTTGAAGTGTACTAAGATGGTAAGTAAGGAAAATACCCTGAATTTTGGCGCTCATCCAATTTGCTCACACACACTTGTGAGAAAGATTAAGGGATGAATAAAAGCTAAATTGTAAACAATAACAATAGTGAAGGCTGCAGATCAGTCTTCACCAACCAGTTGCCTTCCAGATGTTAGGACTTCAACTCCTTCACCTTCCAGATACCCTTAAAATAGCTAGGGATTCTGGGACTTACATACCAAAATATCTGGAGAGTATCACATTGGGGACTGCAACATTGTCAAATAAAATATTTGCTCCTTATAGTGCAGAGAATATTAACTCAGGTGCCTTAAATTCAGTGGCATCACTGCAGTTGGTTACTGCACTGCAGGTGCCTGGAAAGGACTACAGCAGGGGTAGGCAATCTTTCCCCTTTAAGGGCCAAGGGACTTCAGCTCCCAAAATCCCAGGAGCTATTGACCAACATGGCTGAGGCTTCTGGGAGCTGAAGTCCCTCGGCCCTTAAAGGGGAAAGGTTGCCTACCCCTGGACTGCAGAGACTGCCCTGCCCTCCCATAGCCTTACTTGGCTGCTCGCTGCCAGCTGCCCTTCATCCAGCCAGAATGCTATTGGGGATGTTATAAGAATTGCTTTAATATAAAAAAAAACCTTTGTAGATCTCCTGTCATGGCCGTAAACCAGAAAAGCCCAACCACCATAGATCCAAGGTGAGGACTGCACATAGGCACCTGAAAGGTCATATCTGCATCTACAACAATTTGCAGATCAAAAGGCCAGGCTTAGGAGCTGCAAAGCAGGACATTTGACCTAGGAAATTTATGAGTACCAGGCAAGATGTGTCCAGCTGAAGATGAGATAACATCAACATTCCATCTTCCCTCTTTGGAAATTGTCTACTTTAAAGAGTATCAATGCAGAATCCTTTGATATACAATAGTAAATCTTCATCTCAGGCTAGGTTTAAGGGTACACAAGATCCCTAAAATCTCAGGCATGTTGGATCTGGTTAGATTTCACTGTGATACTGTGAACTCTTACTTGGGTCCTGCTCTTCCCATGGTCCTTTCCCTTTCATAAATGGTTGAGTCTATCTATCTTCATTCATCTTTAGAGCAACCTCCATCAGGTAATTATCACCATTAGAAAGCCTTCTGTTTCCTATTCAAGCTAACTACTTTAATCCTGAGTTCTTGTGTGTGTAAGTGAATGTTAAGATTGTCTTTGTATATCTGAAACCCCAAATAAATCACAGACTCATTGAAAAGCTTTGTCTCTATTCCTTAGCCGCCTCCATAAACGCAGGATAAAAGACCCCATTGGAGACTTGAACTTTAGCAATTCCACAGATTCATGTTCTTCTTATAGGGAGCTGTGCTGAGTAGCCCCCCATTCCAGCAAAAGCCTTTGGATGGCCTGTTCAGGGTCTTGTGTAGCTGCAAGCAGCTGAGCCAGACTCTGAACAGACGGCACCACACTCCTGTTTAAATTGCAATTTGCATGCTTGTAGGATGTATATGGTACATTTATTTACTACCTAACTTTTTGGTCTGAAACAGTGGGTTTTTTTTAATTAAATTATAAATCAAAAAAGGTATCACTTATTTACAAGGTGTTAGTAGGATTCAACTACATTCAACTGAAGACTATGGTACCCAATATGGATATCAATTTAACAGCTGTATTCCTGCAGTATTTATCCTAGAGAGGGATCCTACTGATTCACTGCTGAGTAAATTCAGACTAGCAGACAATAAAACCAAAATCCAACTGCTAGTTCCAACCAGTGCGTGAATGTGTGTGCGTTCACATGCCTTCAAATCTCTTTTCGACCTATAGTGACCCCATGAATCTCATGGCATTTTTTAAGACAAGGAATACTCAGAAGTGATTTCCATTTCCTTCTGATGAAATATAGGTTGTTGTTGTTGTTGTTGTTGCATGTTTTCAAGTCATTTACAACTTATGCTGATCCTAACGCAAACCTATCATGGGTGTGTGTGTATGTGTACCAAGAATAATATAGAGGATGTTTGCAACTGCCTTCCCCAGAGGCTGAGAGCATGTGACTTGTCCAAAGTCATCCAGTGGATTTCATGGCTGAGCTGAGAATCAAACTCTGGTCTCCAGAGTCATTGTTCAACATTCAAACCACTATGCCATGCTGGCTCTCTGAAATATAAGTATCTTCAAGTTACTGCTGTAATGAAGAATAATTCAAAACAACACAGGCAATTTCCTTATATAAAGTCATCTCAGTGGTTCAACCAGCTTAGTACTGTCTACTCTCAGGAGTGCTGCAGGTCTGTAGACTTCTCAAGATATCAGGGCCTGATAGAAAGCCTTCTATGTTGTTGTGTGTATTCACATCATTTCCAATTTATGGTCACCCTAAAGGCAGACCTATCACAGGGATTTCTTGGTAAGATTTGCCTTTGAGCAGGGGCTGAGAGAGTATGACTTGTCTGAAGTCATCCAGTAGATTTCCATGGCTGAGCAGGGGTTTGAACTCTGGTCTCCAGAGTCATAGTCCAATGCTCAAACCACTACACCACACTCGCTCATGGTCTATGTGGTTCTACTACTGAGCTACAATCCTTTCCTAGTATTACCATATCCAAGGAAATGAATACTATATTTTACAATGCACAGAACTGTAACTTTCTTTTGGAAAGAAAGACACATACTGTCAGATGTTTCACCTGCACACCATTAGAAGCACCAAGAATTGCTAAACTATCTGCACAGCAAAAAAAGCTTACTCGTCATATTCCACAGTAATTAACTGGGTCACCTATGGAGGCAGAAAATAACTTTTAACAGAATCTGTTGAACAGCACCAAGAAATCTTTACCACACATAGAGGTGCTAGCATCTTATTAACTGCTACTTTGGACCATGCATCTGACTAACAGGAAATGAAGGAAATACTTTGCAAAGAAAAAAAAATCAAATACATGTTGAGGCAAAGTGCAAACTACAACTACCAATATTAGGTACTTTTTTTAAAACAAAAATCTATTTTAAAACTCCAAGCTGCAAAATGGAGGTTGCTCAACACTCAAGAAGGCCATCCAAATATATCCACAAACTACAGCTTAGTGGCATTACAGACTGACTGTATGCCCCTACACTGCGTACTTTGCGATTTCTGACAGCTAAGTACGGGGTAGACAGGAACTATTCTGACACAGCTTCACAACGAAGCCAGTGCAAGAGAGACTGATAAAACATTCAGAGCATCACAGCCACTTGGCAGCCACTTTACTGTCTTTTAAGTACCAAGTTAAAAGTCTGTTACTCTCTCAGGCATTTTAAGACTCCATACATTAAATATACTGAATTGTAAGAAAATGACGACCTTGCTGCTTTATTTAGTGTGATCTTCAATGCACATTTTTACTTGCACTGCCAATTACTGTAACTGTTGCTGTGTTTAAATCAAACTGTACTGAAGACTGCCTTGGGTTAAGATATTTTTGAATTGAAATATATAAACACACTAAGATAAAATAAATTTAATCACTGTAGAACTGAGGTCTAATAGTAGAATAATTTCTGGAATTAAAATTATGGACTTATTCTCAGGACTGCATCATAATCTGTCTGATCTGAGCCAGCAATCAGAA